TGATGATGATGATGATGATATGAATGATGATGATGATGATGATGATGATGATGATGAGGTTTCCGACAGGGAAATGTAAGCAAAATGCGGTCTTTCATCAAACGTGTGTGTGTGTAATTGACCCTAATGGATTGTTTCCACGATTTCGTTTAACACTGGTCTTGATTTGATTTGCGTCCTCATAATAATTCACTTACTTTCACAGCATTATTAGTATTTCAGTCAACAATTTTCGAAAAGGTGTCAGTTAGTTATTCTCCCCCTGGGACTGGTCAACCAAAGCCGTAATTCTCACCGCTGTATGGCATAGGCAAATGAAATCTTTCCGACCTAAGTGCTGTCTTCCCGGAAGCATGTCTCCCGGAAGGCATTGTATACCTCAATGCTCTTGGGAACACTTTGGAAGCAGCACTGTGTTGTGAGGTTATTCTTTGTTAAGGTTATATCGGATGTTCTTGCGATATTCGTGTTTCCTGCTCATCTATTGACTTTTTTTTCAAAACTAGCACCTTGGTTGATTAACTTGACATTCTAACGGTAACGATCAGGCGATAAGCACTATGTCTTTGTTCAGTATGAAATCGTATGGAACGTGGTTGTGCGCAGAACCAAAGGTTCCCCCTTCGTCTTATCTTGCATTGTGTTTTCCTTTCCTGAAGTTTTTGCTCATTTATTATGCCACCCTGTGCACACCAATTGGTCACAAATCTTGTGTGCTACAAACTGGTGCGGAAGAACGGTTTGACTTGCTAACTAAAGAAGCATAAAACTTTCAGGGAAATTCAGCAGAAATAAAGGACCATTAAATAGCAATATCACCAGCACTCGTTGTTCTCTTTGGTTTGTCGCATGTTCTATCTACACACTTGGTTTATTTGAGAACAACAATACTTGGTGCTCCCTTGTCGACCGTTCCGGAGAAAAACGGAGTTATAAATTTCCTGTGTATGCCTGATTTTCGACTAATACATCCTGATTTGCAGCAATCTGCACTGCACTAATCCCATTGAGTGAGTCCGACCATTCTTGATTAGTCGATCAATCCACTTTGGTTGTACGTTGCCTGCCAATTTTGTACGCATATGTGAGAAACAGTCCCGAACCTTTTCCTATGGTCTGAGATCCTTCTGATGCAGTAAATGGTTTCTACATTAATTGTCAAAGCTCATATTCAGGTCTCATATTGATCCTAACGAAAAAACGTGGAAAAATACTACTATGTCTAGTCGGTTCAATTGATTGTCCTTTCTTGTGTCGTGGGTGAATGTAAAACCTAGGCCTCTGTCCTTCTGCTCAATCTTCTCGTCGTCGTTTACGGACTGTTACGGTTGTCTAATTTCCAGTTCCTCCTCTAGCCCTATCTTTGTGAAAAGCCACCTGTCTGTTTCTGTACACTACGCGTTTCTAGTTAGTTTTGACCAGTATTGAAAAAATGAACCACGTCCGATGATGTCATCGATTTCCGTTCTCTCTTGTCGCCGGTCGACGCTTTTATCAGCTAAGCATGTGCAGCGATCTGTCTTCAACTTGTTAACTTCATAGTGAGCTCGCGTTATCGTGTCGCGGCATTGGAAACACTTGATCCAGGTGTATTGTGGATACTAGTGGCGGCTAAACGAACAAACTTTATTCCGTTTAGAGCTGCAACTGTGATCTCCGAGGCATAGTTGAAGTGACTGAGACCAATTCCCCTGTTTGTCCCCCAATCACCACTCCATATTTACCTTCAAAAACTAACTGAAGATGATTGGTATCCGCTCGATGCTTTCTGCAATTTTGGTTTAGCAATGCGCCCCATGTTTTGTAGGTGTATTGTTTGCGTGTGTACCGTCCACTTGGTTGTTGTTGGATTTCATGCTATTTAGCGTTCCCTTTAGGTTACCTCTTTTTTTATTGACTGGAGAAATATACATCATAGTGATCCTGTGGGTTAGCTTGTGCGGTGATATTTGTGTTTAGAGTAGTGTAAGCACCTTCGCTCTTCATCCCCTTCATACCGCGATGTCACCATGAAATTACGTTACCTGGCTTTTCTAGACCTCCTACTGCGTTGATTACCCGTTTGGAGGCGTGTATTGCTGGTACTCTAAATTGCATTACATCAACTCTCCGCCAGTTGGTCATTTTTTGCCGAATGTGTGCTACAACTTCCTGCATTGGTTCCTCCTTCGAATATTTCATGTCCTTCTTTTCATATCGTTCTGATCGATTAGTGGCCATAAGCTGATGTTTATACACTTGCCTAGCTGCAATTGGGTATGTATGTTTTTCCTGCGTTTATCATGGTAGGTGTTGATTGTTAGTTGTCCTACTTCACCTTAGACCGTTTGGGCTATGTTCACTTCCATTTTTTTGTCAACATTCATTTTACACATGTTTTTGTATCTGACTCCTCTTCCATTCAGGGACAATCCAAACGCAGTCAGCTTCCGACCGGCCGGGGTTTGGACCCCAAGCGCTTCATTATGGAGTGAGTCACTGCGCATGTTGTCTTTGTATGGTGGATTCAATTTCTGTTTACGTGATGGAGAGGTGTGCCTGCCTTTGGCTGATTAATACTGCCATGACTCAACACTTGCTGTACCTCACACATCCTCTGAAGCAAGTTATCTTGAGTGTGTGCCTGATGCTTTTGGCGGTATCTGTCACATCGGACCAGATCAGAGCTGGAGCTAGTTAATTTCGAGGTTTTGATGCGGTTCAGTTACCCAGCAAGATTTCTAAAAACCCCTAAGTTTCACGTGGTATGGGGTAATGTCTGTGGCATTTCAGCTGTCGTCCAGCAAGCAAAAGCTGAATGTTGATGTCCTGCCTCTAGCGTTCACCATTTGCACAGTGCACGATTGAGACTGGCAGATATTTAGAAGTCGCGCAATTTTTTTAAAATACAGAGTGCTAACTTGGTGGAATTTTCTAGCCTATTCGATTCGTAATAGTCTACATAAATATGCGATACGGGCGACCAGATGCGACACCGTAGCATTTGATGTAAGCTTCTTCCAACTACCGCTGCGTATACTGGATGTTGCTTGCGAATCCTTTCCGACAAGTATGGCACTACGACCAGTCCATTGTACCTTGAATGAACGCATACGAGAGTTAATGGTAGAGCTGGTGGCCGCAGTGCACATCCTATCAATTACCTTGCCGCTACCCCTAAACACGAACATGGGTTATTTTGTGCTTTTTCTGTTACAAGAAATCACTGCATGATCTGACTAACCCATGAAACTCTGGATTCTAGTGTTACGCATCCTTTGTTCGCTTTGGTTTTGGGGTACACCTTTATGCGTTGTACCGTTCCATGCGTCATTCGAATCATTCCTTGCGGAGCGACTTGTCGGCTTTCTGTTTTAAGTGTGAACATATGAAGTTCAATTTGTATCAGTTTTAAATTTTTGTCACATATCGGCGAGGGTGACAAAGCCAAGTCGTCGTTTTACATTTAACCGACGGTTTAACGTCGGTACACCGTTTTTTGAACGACTGTCAAGCAGTTTGCTTGGTACGGTTTATCACAGATTTTAAATGCAAAATTACATTCACATGTACTCGTTGTCAACCATTCTGTCTGTTTCACCATCCAAACAGCGAGTCGACTCACCTGGCCAGCACAGTGGCTCTTCTCATCCCGAACTGGACTCCGGTTGCAACGGCAATGGCAGCGGTAGGTTGATATTTTTATTCCGTCATATTTTACAATTTTTGTCTGTGCGTTTTTTTTACTGTTATTTGACACGTTCATTGCCACTGCCTCCTAACAAACAGGAACCTGTTTCCGCAGTTCTGCGATCCTAGTCTTAAGTCGACCGACCAAAAGTGAGTGTTTGTGGTGTTCCCAGCCCAGGTTACTTCCAAATATGTTCACCTTTAGGTAATTTAGTTTTCGCCATTGTTGCCCTTCATTTATGGACCGGGCTACTAATCACCCACATTCCTTCTGTGTGGCTGCGGATAGATGCAATTTCCTCCTTACGTTTACGGAGGGTTCGTTCTTTATGGGAATATTCGTTGCTCGCCTACTAACGTCTGTTGACTTCCGGTTTTTGTGTTAAAAGTTGAACGACGGGTGTATTTTCCTCTGCATGGAGCGGAATGTAGTTTTTGTGGAACAAATGTGTGTGCTTGTCGTGTTTTTTTCGACCACAAAAAATCCTGTTCTCGTTTGAAACCAATAATTCTGTTCAGTGCGCTGTCGGGTTGGTATGGAACGGTCTATCGATTTGGGTGTTCGTGGATTTGAAATCCGCATGTCTTCGCATAATGTCCGTTCCCGGGGTATCAAATTGCTCTGCTCAATGCATTGTTCTTATCAAGCACCTAGACCTCCTAGTATGAGAAATCTGACAGTTACGCAACAGCCCAGGAATACTTCTGTTTCATGACCACCATAATCACGCATTTCGGCTATCCGCTGTTTTGTCTTAGAGAAATGGCTGAAATTTCAGTTAGCCTTCCTCAGAAGAAAGAAATCAGAAGTGATCAAGGTTTTCTTCGAGCGAATGTAGACTTCGCTGAGCAAAACTGGTGGCCGAATCTAGGGTCTCTTTAAACAACCCATCGGTTTAACTGAATGCAGGTCACAGCTAACCAGTTGCTTGGCTCACGTGGTGAAGTAGTTACCGTCGTACAGGGCCATTTCAGCGACCCGTCTTAGAATCTCTGGTGGACGATTTCTGATCGAACGTCGACTCCCATAATTTGGCACGTCACAGAAATAAGGACCTGAAAGGTCTACTGAATGGTTGTTCGACTCTGTCGTAGCAGGCGTAGCAGCTTTGAGGCTAGTTGATTCAGTAGATGCATGGAACAACTGCTGAGTGGAGCCAGACACACAGGAGAATATTGTTTTTAGGCGAAATCCCGGAGATGGAAAGTTTGATGAGTTAAACATACGTTGATGTGTACTAATCAGATGTCCCAACGTTTGGAGTAATTCCACTCCAACGGTTTGGCCTGCGAAATAATGACTGTAATGTAACGTAACGTAACGTGCAATGTGCGTACTAATGACGACCAGACCAGCATACAATGGAAGATCGTTTCCGATTCGAAAGGAGATCAGTCCTTATTTTTACTTGGAAATTCTATGCGACTAATCGGATTTTACTTGGATTCTGTATAGAGAGGAAAAAAGCCAACTAATGGCACACGTCGAAACGCAACCAACTAACGGTATGACACACTATGGGGGCGAGATGGCCCAAGTGGTTAGAGCGCGAATTTACTGACCGGAAGGTCCGTGGTTCGAATCCGATCCCCGCCACTCGACTTCCCCTGTCTAGGCTTGGGCAACCTGGCAGTATCCCAGCCCTCGTGCTTCCTTCGTGTGGCATGGCAGCTAGGCACCGGAAGGGTGCTACAGCTGAACGCTTTCTTTTCTTTTCATGACACACTGCTATTCAATGGCATACTTTCAACTTTTTTTTATCTACTATGCTTCAGAAAATGTTCACTCAGTCGTTTCCTCGCTGCCCCCCGAGAAAAATTCCAATTAACTCACTATTTTTCAATTATTCCCAGGCCATACGTAAGGTTGAATCTTTTCAGTTATGAGTGATAACTGTGATCTCATTGTTACTACCCTGTAATACGGAGCGATGTCAATAGGAGACTCGCCTAACTCAACAACATAATATAGGTTTTTCTATATATGTGTCATTTGTCATCCTGCCCTTCACATTCTACAGTGGTCTTTTCATCTTTTTAGTTCAATATAGCCAAGTGTCTCCTCCAGGCTCGGCAATATCCAGTGTGTCCACACAACGCCTACCTTTCTATCGACAGCAATATGACCAGTTCAGTGCAACCCTTGGTGGATCACCTGGCTATGCACCTTCGGGGCAGTTCTATCGACCGGATCAAAGCACTGCAAACTGGAGTGCAGGTCCAATCCAACAAGAACCACCCAAAGAATTTTCGCTCCTTCCAATTTCTACAGAGACTTATGTGGAAAAGCCTCGACCACAAGACCTGCCATCCATTGGAGATAAATCAACGGTTCCTTTTGGTTCCTTTGATGTATGTTCCCACTGGAAAAGTCTGATTGGTGATGCGTGTGGTGTCATTAATCTTGCTTGTTTGCGCCCGCCACAAAGGTTCGGTAGATTTGATTCGTTTTTCTTCTCTACAAACTGTGGTATCTATGGCCGCGTCACCGCCTTCTGTAGTTACTGTTTAACTCATTCACTTTTTTTACTAATTCGCTTCATGCCGCCGGTAGAGAGGCCTTTTAAACCATTACAACTGAAAAGGAAAGATAGATAATCCCAAGGTCTCCTAACGGTCCACAGAATATGAACCATTACTAGCTACAGCAATCCCATATAGTTACTTCAAGGATAAGAGTGGTCCGTCGGCGTTGTTGTAGATGACTTGCCTTGTGTTATGTATACTATCATTAGACAGACTTTATTTTGTGGTTTTTTTCCTAAAGCCTCTAATTTGCATTGCCATAGGGCACTGAAATATGCCCTACTGACCACTGTACAGTAGAAACCGGTGGATTTGTCAGTCTATTCAATAAAATCGACCGACAGACTTATTGCATGTTTCGTCCCGGCAAAATTGCTTTCTGCGTTAACATCCTTTGTGGCAATTCGTCATTCCTCACCTAATCTTCCACTACTCTTCATACAGTGGCTGACTGAAAACAGCCGTAGTGTTCTTCTAACTTCGAACGATGCCGGATTGATTGGCTGACGCTTGACAGATACTAAGATATATTGCAACCGCTTAGTTGACTGATCATAAGGAATTTCTCATGGTCTACTGCGTTCGCTGTCATCGAGTTAGTAATTTTCTTGACGGAACGCACTGCTCCTATGGTTGCAGAAAACTCTTTGACACCCCCCACCGGTTTCGGTTGCAGAAAACTATTCGACAACCCACGACCGGTTTCGACTTTCCCTGAGCTCATCAGATAGGCACAGTCCAGAGTTTTCTTATGTTCTACCTGGTGGATTTACCACCATCAACTACAAACGAGCTTGTTGACGCCACTAACCCATCACTTTTTCAAACCATTTCAGCTGCTGTCATCGGGTTCTTTAAATTTGCAATGAACACTGGACGACATTATCGGTGACCATGAAATCCTCGTCCTCCAGCTGTGCCAGTTAGCCACGCTACACGTATCCACCGCTCAGCTGTCAGTAATAGGTAGCTTAGCCCATGGGCGGACGTATAGTCAAACTATGGCCCAGAGTGACACTTTCGAATGTCATGTACTGGAATTCAGTCGGGCTAAAGAGTTATCCTCGTTTGGCGAAGGATAATAGACTCCTGTCAAATGCGCTTATTTACTCGCACCAATTCAGCTGCTCAGCCAACCTAAAGCATAATGGTCTCTCCCATCTCTCTCCTAGGTTTTCCGTCGCCTTGACGAGCATGCAGTTTCCATATCCCAGCAGCAACAGGATAGTTTCAAGCAACTGATTTGGCAGCTTATCTACGCACGAAATATTACAGATGAGCTGGAGAAGGTCCGGGTCATATTTCTATGGTTGTGCACCAAGGATTTGCATAAAATGAACTTTGACAACGTCAAGCCAGATACTCCTGAAGAAATTTTGATGGGAATACGAACAGGAAAATCCACTTACGCACAAATCTTTTACACCCTGTGCAGGTCAGTTCCTACACACCTGTTTGTCGTGTGATGTGGTCACGCGAATTTCATGGTACACTCGTTCATGCTGTGTCACTTGTGCTGATGTCGTTGAAATTTCGGGGACCGTCGCGTATGTCGCGTAGAGCGAATCTGCTCACCCAAATTGACATTAGGACCTCTTGTGCAGCAACATGATACCGGTCCTAGCAGTCGACGTTTTTAAATTGATCATGTGGTCTACATTGATTCTGTGTCTGTTGCTTTACGCTCCGATCTGTCTGGGAAAGTGCTTGGGGTGCGAAAATCTGATGAACCAATTTCAGGGCTCGGATTTGAACTACATGGGTTGGTGGGTACTACCGATAACGTGAGCTTGCACGTGAACTGATTGCGGCTGCACACCTTGTTACCTTCAAAGATCTCTAGCTTCTTTTCAGAGAGGTTCCATAAACAATCGGTGGACTTATTGCTGGGCAACGTTTCGCTTTTGACACAAAGTCTTCGTCGGGCCAAGTGAGTAAGTAAGTAGGTCGATTGGGTTTTAAGGCAGTCAATGGACCAATCCGTGAGATTTCTTATGAATAACCGATTTGATCAGTGCTGAGTGTTCAGTCTGATGTTCCTGTTCGTTGGTTAGTGGGGATGACTAACGTTCATGATTGGTTGGTTAGGGGGAGGGTTTGTCTTCATGATGAACCCGGAATTTTCGTCCTTGCTTTTTCAGTCTAGGATACCTTAATGGAAAATTCCTCGTGGGGTCGTTCACAGATTTCGTCCACTTGTGTTCGTCACAGGGTGCCGGGACAATTGTTTTGGGGATGGGAGTGGGGTAGTTAATTGGAGCTAACTTTACTTGGATTTTTGTACTTTTAGACCCAGACCATTTCGCTGATGACTGCACACCGCCTGGTGTCATCTTGGCTGATCTGCGACCGCTCTCCACACGTTTGCAGGTTCTACTTCCTCTATTCTACTCATGCTGGGATACTTGGCGATTTCCATCGCCTCGGCCACCAGTCGCTGTGGTTTGAATCTTAAGCCCCATCTCAGGATGTCCTCATTTTCTAAATCTATCCTATGCCCAGTGTCAAGTGCATGCCCTGCCATTGCCGAATCTTTAACTAACGCGTGGTATTCATCTGCGTTTCTCGGTGGTCTGACTGCCTTAAAACCCAATCAACCTACTTACTTACTCATTTGGCCCGACGAAGCTTTTGTGTCAAAAGCGAAACGTTGCCCAGCAATAAATCCACCGATTGTTTATCAAACCTCTATGAAACAGTGACCTCTCAATCGGTCCCAATTGGTTGAAAATCTCTAACTTCTGCTTTCTTGATACCGCCAACCTCCTTGATTCCGCGCATTCATTCACTCACTGTTCCAGAAATCCATATGTTCAAATTCTTGATTTTTCAAAATGTGGTTCACCGCCAAAATTGGCCATTCTTGGTGTAGAGTGAAACTCCGGTGGGCACGGCATTAGAATCGACTAAACTCTTGACATGTGACCAGGAGGGGACTCATTCTGCTAGCATATGCCTAGGGCAGTTTTGTCTTGCTGTTCTGATGTTTGCGCTCCAATTTACGTGTATGCATATCTAGAGTTGATACATAGACATCCATGGGAAGGCTGAAAATAACTTGAATATCGCCGTTCAGCTTGGTTCTGAGGTGAATCAGGCGTTCTTCCCATTAAATGTGAAAGGATTTATTTGCGAACAAAAATAACGTGCTTTCAGTAAACCTTTACGCAAACCGTTTCAGCTGTAACTTAATGCAGAATAATGAGGTTCATGTTCTTCCGGAAATGCAATTTTAAGATGCTCTGAGAATGTCTTCAGGAGAGGTTAATCTTGTTAATCCTTTCCTGTGGACTATATTGTTTGGCAGTCCGACAGTCAGGCCGTATACGAGTTAACTGCTCCCCTGAACTGGAACCCTAAGTTTCTTCACCGGAACTTATCCTACCGTTTGCTGTCTGCTGCCAACAATTCAGGCTGCTTGTCAGTCTAGTTGCCGATTATACGAATTTCCAGACCATCGTTGTTCCATTCATCTTTTAAAACGTTGACCCAATAGGGGGCCATAAAGCGTAGGTGTCATCCACTGGTTAGTTTTAGGCTCTTTAACTGGAGTTCTATTTTACTGGTTTATCGTTTTATTCCGGTCTGTTTTCTCATTCCCTCCTAATGTATCAAACCAGATATGCTGGTCTACACTGTAAACTACTCATTGGATATGCAAAAGGAGCCGAATATGCACCAGGCATGCAATTCTCCGGACGACAAGGTCAACATTCTTGGAATGCCGTTCTTGTGGATAAAGTCTGGCGCCTCGTTGATTGTCATTGGGCTGCCCGTAGACTGATAGGGAAGCGACCAAGTCCAGAAAATGTGCGCTACGGTCTGGACATGTTTTATTTTCTGGCAAATCCGGGACA